AAAAAAAAAAAAAAAAAAAAAAAAAAAAAAAATTCCAGTTCTATTGAAAGCTCTTTTTTCCCTTCGTTTTTATGTGGAAGAGAGACATTTGTCTAACTTTGTCATATCAATAATTTCAAAATACCTCCTGAAATAACCTCTCTGTCCTAAGCCAATTTAAATTCAACTTTTACAGGTTTACATGGGTTCACTTGCGGTTGCTTTCCCAGTAGGTTACACTTCTTGTCCTCTTTCCTTTGGTCCTTAGCTGGGCATCACTTCCCTGTACTGCTACTTAATCTCATTTGTTTTTTCTTCCCTCCTACTCAACACTCAGCCCTTTATTGGCAGTGTTTTCTTCACTTTCTTCACCTCCTAAGAGTCCATTCTTTTACCTGTACCCACTGTCTGTGCCTCCACCAGACTTAGTTCTCAGACACAACATTCTATACATTTATGAAGCTGGTGAACATTGGAGGTACATGATGTAAGAGCGAAGAGCAGCCATCACATAGTCTCGTACCCAGAGCTGCCTCCTTGCCAGCCTAATCCACCAGGTGCCATTGACTGAAAATGGTGAGCTAATGACCTGTGGTCACATCTCTCCCCAAGGTCAGAGGTTTCATGACTGCTAGCTACTTCATTAGCAAGAAAGTGATAAGGCAAAATCAGAGAATTCCTGAGGGAGGGAAAAGTGTGTGCAGATTTAGGAGGCTTCCCAATGCTGTATTGACTGTGCCTATTTATAACAACAGGTGAATTCGTTTGTCTTTGATCAATGTGTAATGTTAAAGATCCTTCTTAAAGTGTTACAGAATGTCTGTTAACGGTAATTTTCCTTGCTTGCTATGACTCTAATGGGCTTGAGAATTGATCCAGCCAGTCTCTGCTCTCTCTGTCTCCTCTTTCTCTCCTCTCTCCTCCCTCTCCCTCACTTCCCCGCTTCCTCTGTCTCTTTCTCTCACTCTCTGTGAGGTTCGTTTGCTTGACTGATTCTGAGTGTCCATAATGACTGTTTGGCATATTCTACAGGCAAAGGTCCCGAGACCCTTTTTGCCGGCTATAACCTCAATGATAACGAATGGCACACAGTGCGTGTGGTTCGTCGAGGAAAAAGTTTAAAGTTAACGGTGGATGATCAACAGGCCATGACAGGTAAAGCCCCATCGCCTTTGCCTTGTTGAAGCTTTAGACTTTCCTGTTTCTTGCAGTTGACTCTGAAAACCAAGTGAACAATTGAAGCTGATACACACAGTTCATTTCTTATTCCAGTTCTTCCAGCAACAAGTAAATTTAATAAGCAGCATGTTAAGTGTTTTTTTCTCTCAAATAAGCAACAATTTTTGTCATGTTCTTTTCCATTTAATAATGCAGAAAGAAGTTATATTTTAATTTTATGGCTTGATAAATATCTTAGGGCTTTATAAAATATTGAAATTATTGTTTGGATGCCAATTTCTGTTCAATTTCTTTGTTTCTTATATATTTAGGCAATGAACAGCAGCAAGTTATACTTTTTAGCTTCTGGGTATATTGATAGATATGCTGGCATTCTGTCAGGTGAACTGCTTTTTATTTTAAGCTATAATAGATCATTTTTGGCCATTTAGCTCTGTTGGTTAAATTCTGATGTTAAGAATGTCAAGTTCAATCCCTGATTTGTAGATTCCTGACTGAGGTGAGCCACATAAAGGTGCATCCCGGAGACATAGGCAAACCGAATGAAAGAGGAATCGGTGCACCTTTATTCTCTCTGCTGAAAATAACTTCAAGCACATGACCCGCTGGGATATTAGCTCCTTTTTCTTTTTGAGAGAATATCTCCCTGTTAATTATTTTAGTACAAGGCACAAGACAGTCCTTGTGCAGCAGAGAAGTGTCTGTTCTACATTCAGTCTCAAGGGGGTTTCCATACTCAGAGATCAGGTGATTGTATCAATGTAGAAATATCATGTATGGGATTTTAACTTTTAAGAGAATCATTCCTGAGTTCAAATGAAGCAAACTACCAATCAGAGATCTCTTACCAGCTTGTATTTCATTAGCCCTTTATGGCTTTCCAAAACTTTTTTCTACACATGGGGGCAACCTTGCTTTGTTTCAGAATTATCTTTAAAAGGATCAATTCCTGACCAGACACCACAGAAAGTGTGGGAGGAGCTCATCATTATTATTTTTTCTTAAAATCTCTCAGAAGAACTCTAATGCAGCTTGTCCGTGGATTGGCATTTAAATACCACTGCTATGTTATGTCATTTTATTCTCCCAGGAAGGAAATCAACCAGGGAGCCATTAGCATAAGCCTTTATTCAACATTGCCAAACACAAGAAGTCTCTGAAGAAACTGTGTTGACTTAGGGAAGGAAGGCAGAATTTTTATAGGGCTTTGGCAGGAGTGTTAGCTGAAGTTCAGCTAGTTAAAGGCAGTTCTTGGAAGAAGAATGAATTGTTTCTGTAGATTAGCATCCGCTCTTTGGACAATCTCGGTTTTATCAAAAGGGGTAGAAGTTAACAGGGTCTAAGGTCATGTGCAAGAGGTTGGGCAGAAATAACTGCCAGGGACAAGGACAGGTGAGAATCACAGTAGAACATTCTTCAGTCCCTTAAGTTTGTCTCAAATCTCACACAGCCCTATGAAGTAGATAGGGTATATACATTCTCACTTTATAGATGAGAAAGCTGAGGTTCAAAGAGGTTAAGTGACTTATGTTTCTTTGAAATGCCATTGTTACCAGAACTGAGAGAGCACCTAGATTTATTTTTTAATTTTGTTTATTTGTGAACTTTTAAAAATTTGTTTGCTTTTTGACTCATGGTTCATTTATTTATATTTATTAATATCCTAATATATGTATGACTCTATGATGAATGCTTTCCTGGACATAACATGATTTTATGAGGATAATATATACACATATCAAAATCACATGATGACCGATCATGTAGGGTAGCATGTAATGTACTAAACGGTTGAGTAAACAATTCATGTTCTTGGGGTTCAAAAGAGCTTAAAGGTTTCAGGAGTAGCTTAAAGCAATAGTTAATATCTGAACTAGCCTGTAAAGAAAGGATAATACGGAAGATAAAAGTATCTGGGAAAGCATTCCACACAGGGAAGTATGGCTTAGATGGGGCTAGACAGACTTATGTTCAGGGAACAGAGAAGGTTTGTTTTGTTTCATGCAACCATAGGACGGTTGACATGGCTAGAATGGCCTTTGGGGGCCAATAGGTCAGTGCTCCAAATGAAGGAATTCATACTTCATGGGTTTTCAGGCAGTTGGAGGTTGCTGCATTTAAGCTGGAAAGTAAGCTAAGATAATATTTTTTGAGCAAAATGAATCCTGTGCAATGTACTAACTACTTCAGGCTGTAAAGTAGTAAAGTCCTGTGATACAGTGAGTGAAGAAGGTATAGAAACAAAAGACTGATGCAATACATTTTTTTTTTAAGTTTTGTTTAGAAATAATTTCAAATTTACAAAAAATTTCAAAAGTAAAAAAATTTCAAAAAAAAATAATTTCAAATTTACAAAAAATTTCAAAAAAAAAAAAATTTCAGTTCAAAGAACACTGATATACTTTTACTGTGGTGAGCGTGTTGTCCTATTTGCTTTGACATTTTCACTCTCTAATTTTTTTCTTAACCAACTGAGGATAAGTTATATACTTAATAGCCCTTCATTCTAAATACTTCAGTGTGCATTTTCTAAAAATAGGGATATCCCTTTACAGAGCAAAGAGTCACCAACTTCAGTAAATTTGGCATTGATACAATATTTTTTAACATCTTTATTGGAATATAATTGCTTTACAATGGTGTGTTAGTTTCTGCTTTATAGTTTTATCTCTTCTCTCATCCATATTCCCCGTTTGTCAGTTGGCCCAATGTTGTCTTTTGTAGCATTTTTGCTTCCATCAGAGCATTCAGTCTAGGGCCAGACACTGCAGTTTGTTTTCACGTCTCTTTAGCCCCCTTTAATGGAAAACATTACCTTAGACTTTCTTTGTCTTTGATGATGTCTCTGACCTTTTATCAATGTAAAGTCACTTTTTGGGCTTATCTGATGTTTCGCCATGATTATATTCACGTTTTGCATTCTTGGATGCAAAACATTGTTGATGGTGTAGTCTTCTTACAGTATCCCATCTGCAGGGAAATGATGTCCATGTCCTGGACTCATGATTTTAACGCTTGGTCAACATGTTGCCCAGTTTCTCCACTGAACAGTATGTTTTTCTCCCTTACAACTAATAAACTGTGGAGAGACGTGTTAAGACAATGAAAATATCCGTACTTCATCAAAAACTTGCCCTAGACGTATCATCCGCTGAAGATTTTACCTGATCCAGTCTTTAACACAGTAGTTACAAGTGATTATTTTCAAACTCCATCTCTCTTTCCACCTTTAGAGTCAGCACTTAGTATTCTACTATATACAAGAGCTATCCCTTCATTCTTTCTTTTTCTTTCTTTCCCTTTCTTCTTTTTCTTTTCCTCCTTCTCTCATCATCCTCCTCTTTCCTTCCTTCCTTCCGTCCTTCCTTCCTTTCTTATTGGTATAGACCCACAAGTTTCTGTATTTTCAAGTAGTTTATAATTACTTCACTTAATTATTTTGGTGCTTAAAATGTCCCTGTTGGGGCCACTGTGAATCCCATGAAGTTGGCCTCTGGGATTGTGACATATGCCTCCACTCCAGCATTTGTTTTTAGCACTTCTTCACTTTCTGGCATAACAGTATATTTCAGGCACAACTTTTACCTGCCGTGCCTCAGCCTTGGAATCAGACGTTCACATTCCATCTAGTGGAGAATTATATTACAGACCAAGATCTAAGTGGTTGCTATCGGTATGCTCAGTGCTGCTTCGTGACCTTTTCAGGAGACTAAGATAGGAAATATACTCAAGCATATATACATATACCTGCATATATATACACTATAGATATGTACATATATATGTCTTAATAGGTTTCTCCACATAAATATGTACATACATACATATCAATTACACAATTACACAATTACATAAAATGCATATACACGTATTTTAGAAAACATGAGTTCACACTAGCACCTCCATATCTACAGCATTGTTTCTTGACTCCCCCATTCCATGTTTTCATATCCCTTCTTCCAAGGTGGAATCTTGGCTTGCAGTGATGTCATTTTCTCATTTGCCCAATCCAGTCATACATCTACAATAGTCTCAGAATTGCTTTAAATTGCCCACACTACCACGAGTACTGCGGACTGAAAACTATTCACGATTAGTTTGTGATTCTTCTCAGTCCTTACTGCCTAAGATTTAATGTGTATGGTCAAATGCTAAGTGGATAAATAACTTTGATTAGTTCCTTTCTTCGTTTTTTCCTTTCCTTTTCCTTCCTTCCTTTCCCTTTACTGTAGTTATAGTAGTCATTTGAAATACAATTAGTTTTATTTAGTTCAGCTTCGTTTTTTCCCTCCCATTCTTATGTATTTAATTATAGTCGTGTGTAGAACGTTAGCATGCTTTTAAAATCAGTGCAACACATTGTGAATTAGGAAGTGATGAATAGAGTATGAAAATGATCATTGTAACAGAAATGTTCCCTAAATGAATTGCCGTGTAATTTTCATTAAAATTTAAGATATATCTCTTCAATCGCATAGATTCCTACCAAACTTCTAAGTGAATAGTTATATTCTGTATTAGTCAGTTGCTTTCTTCAACTTCCAGTGAATACATCATTCCTTTGTTACTTAAATGGTTGTGCATTTATCTCTCACCAGCAATCATAATGTTAGGAAGCAGAGTTAACAGATACTTATATGGATGTAGTTGGCTTATCAATATAGGAACAAATAAGTGGTGGATTCAAAGGAGAACTCAGAGAGAATTGACTCTGTTGCGGGATCATTCCTAAGTTAATGTCACATGTTTCCACTCTTCTGCTCCTGAGCATGCACTGTTTCTTCACGGTGAAGTCACCCATGTCTCCTTGGCTGGTTAATACTGGGAAACTCTGGCACCTAAGACCTCATTAGGAATCCATAGGCCATTGGTAAGGTTTCGCTTATGATCTGAAAGAAAAGGAATTCCCTTTCAAAATTGCCAAATTTGGATGACAAACACATTTGTTTAACAGATTTTTTTTTCCAGGAGGTATT